TTCCTTGTAAGTCTAACATACGTGATTTATATTTTTTATATGTGTACATCCTTAACAGTCAATAGTAAAGGTTTAAGTGTTGTTTGAACTAATCTTTACTGTTTAAGGTGCTTTTTGCCCGAACATTCTATTAGGGTTTTGTGCAATTCCTTGCGATCCCTATTATGAATCACTATCGTGGTTCATGATAGAGCAATATATAAAAATGTCTGATTGCACACACACACTAACCTTCTCATGATTACAAAAGTGAAATTATCTAGGTTGGAATAAATGGACTTCAAATTACAGAAATAACTAACCTGATGGGACTTGTATATTCAAACAAAACAAATCTTGGTCCAGTGTTCAACAATTTCTCAGAACTTCCTTCTGATCAACTGTAATTTGATTTAATGAAATATGATTGACTGGGTATACCAGCAACTTAAGGGTATCACATTTTTGTTTATTTATACATGTGGGTGAAAAAATATACTTCATAATCCTACAACCAAGACAGAAAAATTACTGCAAAAATAAAAAATCTAACCAGTTATGTTGGAAACAATTTATTTGTCAGCATATGAAATTTTATCCAAGTTTCAAGCAAATTTCAGTTTTTCAAGACAAACTTCATATTCACTGAGCAAAAGTTACATTTAATTGAAGACATGCTACTTATACATTGTACTACTTACACAAGAAAGGTTCTAATATTCACTACTACATAGCACATTCATCAAATTACTAGGTTTATTACACTATGGTGTCACATAGCTACTTAGTTATGAAATATTGAATTTGCATTTTCAACTTCAAATAATTGTATCTGTTCAGTGAGATCAACATTTTGAAAATAAGTTCACAGCCATAAATTATTTCTAAATAATTAAAAGTATATACAACTATTAACATTTTGACATCAGTGTTCTGGAAACATACAAAGCAATCTAACCAACAGCTTAGTATCTGGTTTATCATAAAGTTCAGGATAATAACACAATCTATAGGAAGTCCTTCATATTGCTGTAAATATTTGAATACATTACTTATATTAAAGCTTGACAATAAAGAATAAATTTCTTGCAACACACAATCTGCTTCAATGGTTAGATATCTTGCATCCATTCACATAATACATAAATTAAAAACTGACTATGTTTAAATAGAAACAAGTTTGTTGCTTACTACAAATACATACACTACTCATTGTCCATCACCAGTTTATACTATTAGTTTAGAACTTATGACAACAAATTCTATCATAAAGAAAACAGTTCTTTGACATGTAAATGTTTAGTGAAATCTGCTAATGTATTACATTTACAATATTAATTTAAATAACTTGTGCATTTCAAAATTTGTATATATATTATACTCTTAACAATATATCACAAAACAACAAACAAAACATATTCCATTCTTCAAACTTTAATTAAAATAACTTAAGTGGCTTACTAGATCCAATGACGGCTGAAATCAGTGTTAGCTTCATTATCTAGAACTTACATTATGAAATCTGCTAAAGATGTTCACACACATGAAGCTAATATGCAGAATAGCTATGAAACAAATAATAAGCATGTAATTATTTTAACAACCTGATGTACTATATATGTGATGGTATACCAGGGCTAATTAGCCGAGCCTAAAACTAGTGTATAAATACTCTCAACTGTATGAGAACATAACTTAAAATTTTCATACTATATATATATATATATATATATATATATATAAATAAGTAGTATGAGTATATGCATCCTGATATACCAACGGACAATTATTAATGCACACTTAGTATTTTACTAATTTATA